TCTAAATGATGAAAAAAAAAAACTCTTTGAAATTAAGCTTTGACATATAAATGGTAGAAAATGTAGAAAATATCTCTATGGAACATGATCTTTACTTCATCATTATGAGGATTTTAAGCTTGTGCTTCATCCCACTTCATTTCAAACATGTTTAAATGTATTTTGTTTAAAGAATTGTTTGGTGTTTGATTTTTCTGTTTCGAAATAAATAAATCAAATAAGATTTTAGACATAGAAGTCAATAATTTTGACCCAATACATTGCATTTTTAGTTATTTAGGCATTTATAGATTTAGTTAAGTATTTTTGTAGTTAAATATTATATGTAAGACACATACTGTAATTATACCTAGAATACAGAATATGGGACTGTTAGAATTGAACACCAGGGATGATAGGCAAATGTGACACAGAAGCCACTGAATAGGGTGAAAGTGACATAATAAGAAAAAAGAAAAATAAAGTATTCAATATTTACAGGCATGTCCCACTAAATCAGCAGCTTTGACCACAATCTGCCAAAACAGACTTTCTCCAGACTACTCCTGCAACTACCCACTCAGAGTGAGTGTTTGGGAGCCATTTAATATAACTGGCTCCGCCCATGGACTATACCATTTAATAGTTTGGTGTGGGAATAGGTAGACGAATATACATATAAAAGACATTAAACAAAATATAAATTAACGGAGTAAATACGTATGCACACTTAACTCAAAATACAACACAACCAGCAACTAATTTATATATAAACAACAGACAATGAGTTTTATCACCAGCCATGAGGTCGTGACCCTGATGATGTCACCCCAAAATGGCCGCTCTGAATGGATGGTGTGAAACACTGGTTAAATGTCCTAGGTTTCATTAAGAACAGGTTTGGTTCTGAGGAGTGGATACTGGTGAGTGTATGTAAACTTTGTATGGTTTATTTTTATTAATAAATGATGTTTAAAGGAGCATGGGTCTGTGGTTATTTCAGGGTGTATGGAAAGATGATATAGGATATTGTTTGAGTTGGTTTTGAATTGAAATGGTACATACACACCCTGATAACCTTAGACAGTAGACAAAAGAAATAAAAACTTATTGACATTAAACAAATACACATGCACAATACAGTCGTGGCCAAAAGTTTTGAGAATGACACAAATATTAGTTTTCACAAAGTTTGCTGCTAAACTGCTTTTAGATCCTTGTTTCAGTTGTTTCTATGATGTACTGAAATATAATTACAAGCACTTCATACGTTTCAAAGGCTTTTATCAACAATTACATGACATTTATGCAAAGAGTCAGTATTTGCAGTATTGGCCCTTCTTTTTCAGGACCTCTGCAATTCGACTGGACATGCTCTCAATCAACTTCTGGGCCAAATCCTGACTGATAGCACTCCATTCTTTCATAATCAGTTCTTGGAGTTTGTCAGAATTAGCGGGTTTTTGATAGTTCAACTGCCTTTTGAGGATTGACCACAAGTTCTCAATGGGATTAAGATCTGGGGAGTTTCCAGGCCATGGACCCCAAATTTCAACATTTTGGTCCCAAACCACTTAGATATCACTTTTGCCTTATGACACGGTGCTCCATCATGCTGGAAAATGCATTGTTCTTAACCAAACTGTTGTTGGATTGTTGGAAGAAGTTGCTGTTGGAGATGTTCTGGTACCATTCTTTATTCATGGCTGTGTTTTTGGGCAAAGATGTGAGTGAGCCTACTCCCTTGCATGAGAAGCAACCCCACACATGACATTTACATTTACATTTAGTCATTTAGCAGACGCTTTTATCCAAAGCGACTTACAAATGAGGACAAGGAAGCAATTTACACAACTAAGAGCAACAATGAATAAGTACTAAAGGCAAGTTTCAGGTCTGTAAAGTCTAAGAAGGGAAGTATTAGTAGTATTAGTTTTTTTTTTTTTTTTTGAATGGTCACCCCACATTAGACGCGCTCCAACTCTATCTGTTTTTTAAAAGCTTCTGAAACTGCATCTCTGTTCTTTCTTAGCATTTGAGCCTTTTTAATGTTGAGGGGTTTGCCTTGTGTTTTAATTGTTATGTATGTGATGTAGGGCTTGTTTTGTTTATTATTAGTGTTCAGCACTTTGGGCATCGGTGTCTTATAAAAAATGTGCTATATATATATAAACTAACTAACATTATTATTTTGATAGATCAAGCAAGAACAAGAAGTGAAACACATTTGCAAATGCACTAGGTTTACAAATAAATAAGTGTAGACTGATGTAATGAGCCGGTTTCTAAAATTAGGCCTTTTAGTGGGTTTTAAACAAACGGAAAGCAAAAAATTGTTGTTTTCAACTAAAAATCACATTTAACAATTCACTTAACTTAATCCCATTGATTGTTATTGTATTTAAAGTCTATCAATTTATTTATTTAAATCTATATCTTCTGTAAGGGTAGTGTTCCAATAATGAAGTTCACCTTAGTCACTCTCATTAGTTGTGATGGTGTTGTAAACGCACTCCTGCCTTAAAATGCACCCCCTCTGAAATGTGCATCTATTAACTTAAATTGATAAAACAAATAATGAGAGCGACTGAGGTGAACTTCATGAATGGAACCCTACCCTTACAGAAGATGTATATTTAAATAAATAAATAAATTGACTTTAAATACAATAACCATGTGATTAAGTGAAGTGAATTGTTTAATGTGTGGTTTAGTTGAAAACAACTATAGATATTTACATTTGATGTCGCCTACCGTGTTGTTGTCTATTGGAAGGAATGCGTCAATAGAGCTGTCATTTTAATACAGGGTAGTGCTTCTTTGAAATGAATGCCGGACCAAGGTGCAGTGGAGGACTGGCCATCCAGAGCCAGAGATATGTATATATATATATTATTGGAGATTTCCCGGTGATTAGTATGCAAGTATTTTAACTAAATTATGAAAATTATTATTTGACATCACTTTTCTACATTGATGGATAAGTGACCACACAGGCATTGCTGACAAAGAGCGAGTGCTTGTGAGTATGGAAATGTATTATCCAACTCCAGAAACACACCTCCTCTCCCACTTTCACTTCTAATTCAAACGAAGGGAGCAATTCGTTTGTGAATGAATCTCTTATGAACAACTCGTTCACTTAGCTGACAATGATGCACGTTTCCGGCACCGCAGCATCAGATTTCGTTTGCGTTGTTTGCTGATTTTATTCCACAAAACTAGCATGAGCCTAGAATTTAGTGCAAGTTGGTGCCTTCTTGCCTTATGGTCAGTGCAGTAAGTGACTGTATTATCATCAATGACGTTACTTGTTTAGCACAAAAATTTGTAACAAAAACTTAAACTAAATCTTCCCTAGGATAATGTTCTGCCTTTGAGCTTTGTTTTTTTGTTTGTTTTTGTTGGCTCGTTGCTACATCTGTACGCAACGCAAAAATCCAGCATCTACAGATTGGCTTTAGTCTTGACTAGTGTGTTTGAATAACATTTCTCCTGGGAGCACTGTACAAATATGGAGGCCATATTGACGCATGCTCAGGGTCTGTATGTGATATGTAGTGTATATATTTATGGAAAACAACAACAATTTTATGTTTTCCTTTTGTTTAAAACCCACCAAAAAGCCTAATTAACCGGCTCATTACATCAGTCTACACTACATTAATATTCTTATAATAAATATGTTTTGAAACCTAGTGCGTTTTAAAATGCGTTTCATTTCTTGTTTTTGCTTTATCCATCAAAATAATAATCATTACGCTTTAATCAATTATGGCCCTATTTTCTTTTAAATGTCGACTAAGAATTCTAATGAAAGTCTATAAAGATTGAGGTAAAGTTGGTTTACGTTAGAACATTTGTTTAGTTACAACTTGTGACATGCTCCCTATATTGTTTACCACGCTACATTGAATATTCGGTCTGAAATCACATGCAACCATGTCTTCAAAACAACATTAGCATCATTTAATTGACTCTAAGCAATGTTGTCCCTGCAGGCACAGGGCATCAACATGTACCACAACATACCCCAACACCGTGGGAATGTTAGATTTTGTTTGGAAATGAAAATAAGGTTGTCGTCAGTCCAACCTAAAAGCAACCAAATATCAATGTCTAATCCTGTTACACCTTGACGTTGTGTGGACGTTACCACTATGACATCTATTAGATGTTGGATTTCGGTCACTTTCCAACACAACCTAAAATCAACCAAATATCAACGTAATTTGATGTCGCTATTGGACATGTCCTTAGATGCTGGCTAGGCTCTGACTTTGGTTACCTGACATAAATCTAACCTAATATTAATGTCTTAGGATGTTGTGTGCCTGCTGTGGTACTTTGATAGTTGTTGGCAGCTAATATGATTTCCCTATTTAGAATTTTAAAATAATACTTTTCTGAAATGATATTATGAAGGAGAAAGTCTGAATGTGTGAATATACAACCTACTTTATCTCAATTCCATAAAGGGGGTGCATTTTACGGCAGTGGTGTGTTTCTCTGCACAACACCGGCACTTGAACTATGTTTAAAAGTGTATACATGTTAGTGTATGGGTGCAATATGCATATGTCAGTGTACTTCTCAGTCCTACAATATTACCGGGACATTCATTCATTTTCTTCCATTACATAAATAAAAGATCAGCTGATCGCTATTAAAATTCTGGTAAACATCTACAGTATGCGTGCTTGTATACCTTGCATTGCTAGGAATTTATCCCATGACTTTGCTACAGAACCAATGCATATCCTTATGCAAACAAAGAATCACTTCATTTGCTGACAGACGCTTAGTATATTAGATTTTTATGCTTAGTTTGACATGCATTGTAGGGCTCTTACAGAAGGTCATGTGTAAAACTTATAAAGCTTAATGTTTTATAATGTAATGCTTCACTTTCTGTCTGATATACTAAAGTGTACAGTTTTACCATAATGTTTATTTAAATTACTGTAATTGTGTTATGTTGGTGTTTACTCACTGCTGAATTCATGTTTTTTGTGCTGTAGGCCACGCCATATTTCATTGGCTTGATATTATTGGAGATTGTGTTGGGCTGGTTAAAGACAGATGGCCCTCACATTAAGATCAACGACTTCATTACGTCTTTGTCCGCAGGGATGATGTCCCGTCTGCCTCAGTGAGTTCACAACAACTTCCCAATCTCATACAAAATCGAATTATTAAAATTGTTGGAAAATCCCGGAGTAGTATTTTTTTTAATAATATGTTAATAGTAATTTATAATTTGAAAGTTGTTAATATTATCAAAATTGTATTTTGTTATTTATTTATTTTTATGTGTCTGTGTGTATTTTATGTTGACTATTTTCAGGACAAAAAGGTTTATATAATTTTAATATAGCCAGTGTTGCTAAGTAAAGTTAAATAAAAATGTAATTCAATTATAAAATAAAATTGAAATAGTTAAATAAAAGTAAAGTTGAATAAAAAATAAGTAAAAAAAAGTACAATTAAATCAAATTAAACATATTTAAATAAAATAAAGGTAACTAAAATAAAGTTAAATACAAATAGTTAAATAAACATAGTTAAATAAATTAAATAAAATTAATAATTGTTAAAATAAAATACAATTAAATTAAACAAAATTAAAAAAAATATTTAACTAAAATATTTAAATTAATATTTAATTTAAAATACATTAATTAGTTTAATAAAATAAAATAAAATTAATAGTTAAATACAAATACATTTAAATAAAATAAAATACAATTAAATTAAATAAAAAAATATAATAAAATTAAAAATGTCAATAAAATGTCATTAAAAATAGTTTTAAATAAAGTAAAATGAAAATTAATAAATTAATAATTAATAAATTAAAATAATTTGGAAATAACTTTCCAAATGTCAGATTTACCTCAAATTTCTTTCAATTATTTGTACAGCGGAATCGCAAAAAAATAGACATGTCTTAAAAAACATATTTTGTTGGTAACAAAAGAGAAGATAATCCTAAACCTGACGTTGCAAAGAAGTAATTTTTTTAAAGTACAAAACTGATGTTATTTCATGTTTTACCAATGTGTTTTCCGTTAAACAGATTTCATGACATGTTTATCTGCTGGTGAGCTCCTTTCATATAACTTAATTGTTTTTCTCAAGGCTCATGATGAGAAGTGTGGAGCTGTCTGCTTATATTTATATCTGGGACAACTTCCATTTTTTGGAGCTTCCCTGGGATTCGGCTTGGACTTGGTGGCTTGCGTTTCTTGGTGTGGACATGGGATACTACTGGTTCCATCGATTCGCCCATGGTATGTGAACATCCTGCCAAATGCACTGCTAGTATATCTATGATCCAACTGCTTTAAAAGTGTTCGCTGGACGTACAAATGAAACATCGTAGCATTCCCATTTTTACAGGGCGTTTTCTTCTTGTGAACTTTTTTATGTGATTATTTAGTAATTTATTTGGTGCTTTAATCTAGTACTAATAGCATTTTTACACCTTTTAGAGTAGAAGCTATTAAAAAAGTAATCTTAAATCTATTTTTCCATACGGTTTATAGTGATATAAAAACTGCCATTAAAGTGGGTCTGACTTCTGAAGCCATACAATATGTTTTCATGGAAAACAGACCAACACTCTTGGCGTAATTCACCTGCCGTCCCTTGAAACTTGTGTCTAGGTTTGTAGGGCCTTATGAAATCATTTACTCAGGTGTTTAATAGTTCTGGATTCTGTTTTAGTAGTTAAATCTTAAAACTTGTTTTTATAATAGTTTAACATTAAAAAAAAATATATGTAAGGGTCCAATACACATTTTTTTTCCTTTTTTTTCAAAATCATTTTGTTAAAACTTAAAAAACTAATTGTGTAATCAAAAATAAAGTGTTATGTGTTTAAGTTGTTATGTTGGATGAGATGAAACATTAAGTGAGTCTCTACTGATTCTGGGTGAAAATCATAGAGTGTAAAAGTTATGAACGTAGTATCCGTGACATCAACCATAGGTTTCTGAACAACGCAATAGAAGGAACAAGTTGGTGCGACCAACCGTCGCCATTTTGTTCGCGTGTCATTGCACCGACTGAGGGATACCAAACAAGGGCAAAGAGGCAGAGAGCGTTAGCGAAGCTACAGACGCCTGCTAGCATTTTGCTTAGATGGGCTTTTCTTTGGGAGAAATGCTTAATACTTCATTACCTGCGACTCATTTGTGTTTTGACCTCATGTGCTTGGTTGTATACTACATCAATAAAGTGTTTAGTCTTTTAAAAATACTGTTGTAATACATTGAGCCACTAAACATTGTTCTTAGGACAATTTTCTACAGGGGGAAAACCCAAATTACTTCCAAACACTTAACAATATAGTCTGTGCTTGTAAATGCAAGACTAATTATGAAATGCAGGCATAACACTGTATGACAACATTTCAGATGACTGTTCTAGAGCCTACAGCTGATCAATCTGTCAGAGTCTGGAGGGTTTTACAGGTCTAAAGAAATATATAAATGATAATGATTTTTAAGTTAAACAAATACATTTACAGAGATGATAAACAGGTGTATAATTTCACTCAATTGGGAAATGGAGACAACTTGAACTGTTTGTGAGCACAAGTAAGTGCACACAGCATGCCATATTATCTGAAAATTGTAGGAAATAATTCCAAAAAGCAATTGACTGTGTAAACAAACAATAACCAAAACAAAAATAGGATGTATATGCTGAGTTCAGTGGCTAATCAGCTGGAATCAACTGAGGTGACGAGTCTGTACTTGTAAATTACAGAATTAAACAAAAAACAGGAGAGTTTCCAAAACAAAGAAATCAATATAACAAAACAATCTAACTAAACCCAAACCCACTAAACTTACTAAGCAAAGAAAAATGCTGAAACAAAACTGTAATCCTCAGCATATGCGATGCTGAAACTAAACTTTTTTTGCTGAAACTGAAACTAAACAATTTTGTTAAGAAAAAAATAAAAAACTGTAAAAGCAACTTTCTTTTTCATTGTCTTCCATGTCAAGTCAGGGTGCATATTTACTGACTCTAATAGCTGACTCTGATGGCAATATGTCAATATAAAAGTCATATATGAGTAATTCCAGCTTTACGGATATGACATTTGCAGTAAAAACTTAAAACAAATATTCACATAGAAAGTATATGTTGACATTTTATTGAAACATCAGTTAATCTATTTTCAAAACGACTAATTCATCAGAAAAATATCAATTTGTAAACATTACATTTTTTTAATAATTTGAATGAGGGAAATAAAGATGCTTTTTTTACAGCCCAAAAAATAATGTCAATCCAAAGGATAAAAGTTGGCTCTCTATAGAACAAAATCATTGTTGATTTTATTTGATTTTGCATTTATAAGGAAAAAGCTTGGTTCTGGATGTGACATGTGAAATTGACACTTGCATGACTTTGGTAAATCAAAAATATTTGTTTGAAAACATTGACAGGGACATTTTTTGGTTGTACTGTACAAGCCTAAAAAAACAAACAAAAAAAAAAAAACACAAAGCGTTTTGCTATTTTTGTGAAATGTGTTTTTTATTTCCATGGCAGCATTTTCTTTTGTATGGAATTGCTCAGATACAGGTTTTTTTGTCACATAAAAGTAATCTTGGAGCTTCTTATGATTACAGTCGAACCATTGTAGTTACATGGAAAGTGTTTTAACATTTGTTTTTTTCCTGGACTTTAAACGTCTTTGGTACCATTTACGTTTTATGCTGTTTTTGAGGATGAGATGAGTGCGCTGTTGAATTTATTCTTAAATATCTTCATTTGTGTTCAGAAGACGAACGAAGGTCTCAGGGGATTGAAACAACACAAGGATGAGTAATTAAGGACAAAATCTTCTTTTTTGCTTGAACTAACTAATTTGAGGTTGAGTTGTTGTGAAAATGCTCGTGTTTCTGTGCCTTGTTAGACACGACAAGAGTTTTCCTCACATAAAACGGTGAAATGCCTGTGAAATGACTCTCAAAGCAACTCTGGAGTTCAGAAGTTCATGTGTGCATGTCATCATGCAGTGAAAGGACAGACGCTGAAAACGACACAAGTGCAACGTGTTCTTGACTATATGCCTAATAAACTAAACCCCAACAATTTTCTCAAAGTATTTTTGGGATGAGGCACAAATCATTCAGATCCAGAAATAATTCAACACCTAGCTTTTTATTCTTTAAAATAGCCTTTACAACTTTAAAAGGACAGTTCACCCAAAAATGAAAATCCTGTCATCATTTACTCTTCCTTCATTTATTCCAAAACTTTTTGAGTTATTTACTTATGTTGAATACAAACGAAGATATTTTGAAGAAAGCTGAAAACTTGTAACTATTGACTTCCTGTGTCGGGGGTAATGCAAGTTATGTAATTATATTGCTTTTCTTAGTAATGAGTAAAGTCAGAATATGTAAGTTTTTAAAAAATGTGATGCGAGTTACTTTTTAGTTGAATTAATTTGCTTTAAAAAAATAAACTGCTGAATTACAATTAAAGTATTCACGTTTAATCCTGCACTCAATGAGAGAATGCAGGAATTGACAGAAACCAAGATGACAGGCCAGAGCCTTACGTTTCTGCAGTGAAAGTATTCTCATTATTTTGAATGCATTAAAGAAAAGGAAAAGGGGATCGTCTCAATAGACTGAGATTTTACTTTACTAATAAGACAAAAAGGACAAAGGTAGCTTTAAACTTTCAATAATTTTTGAATTGCTTTAAACTTTCAACAATCTATACGACATGTATAGCTCTGGGGCCAGGAAATTATATAGAAGATAACATCAGAAGATAACATTCATTCATTCATTCTCTTTATTAATCCGGGGTCGCCACAGCGGAATGAACCGCCAACTTATCCAGCAAGTTTTCACGCAGCGGAAGCCCTTCCAGCCGCAACCCATCTCTGGGAAACATCTCTGGATAACATTCATTCATTCATTCCCTTTATTAATCCGGGGTCGCCACAGCGGAATGAACCGCCAACTTATCCAGCAAGTTTTCACGCAGCGGAAGCCCTTCCAGCCGCAACCCATCTCTGGGAAACATCCACACACACATTCACACACTACGGACAATTTAGCCTTCCCAATTCACCTGTACCGCATGTCTTTGGACTGTGGGGGAAACCGGAGCACCCGGAGGAAATCCACGTGAAGGCAGGGAGAACATGCAAACTCCACTCAGAAACGTCAACTGAGCCGAGGTTCGAACCAGCGACCTTCTTGCTGTGAGGCGACAGCACTACCTACTGCGCCTAAGCTGAACGCATTCTGCACTGTACAGGAGACACGTCACAGAGGAGGTTGATTGACAATAGTCTACAGCCAATCAGGATGCAGAACACAATGCTGTGTAAAAAAAAAAAATACAACTAGTTACATTTTGGGGGAGTAACTCAATATTGTAAAACATTACTAAAAGTAACTTTCCCCAACACTGTTGACTTGCATGATATTTGTTTTTCCTAAAATGAAAGTCAGGGGTTGCAGGTTTCCTACATTCTTCAGCATTCTTCTTCCTTTTCTGTTCTGCAGAAGAAAAACACTCATAAAGGTTTAACACCACTTGACAGTGAGTAAATAGTGAGTAAACTTTCATTTTTGAGTGAACTACCCCTTTAGGAAACATTATTTGTGTCTAAACTCATACCTTGCACATGTCAGCTTTGCTTTATTCCTACAATGGCCAGTTTAGTTTCATGAATGTTGTTTTGACCCCTGTGTCTTCAAGGATTGTGTGTCTTGCAACTTTCGAGAGCTCACATCTTGGAAAAGCGAGTAGCTGCTGACTGTTCTTGCATGATTTACCTTATACCGTATATATACCAGCTTTTTATTTTCTGTATTTCAGTAAACACATTTGAACGCAGTATTATCTGTCAGCCATCCAGATGTGGAAAATGCATCTAAAGTGAAACTCTCTCTGTCTGGCTGCGTGTATTGAAGTATCAATCTGTCAAGAAGCGTGCGATTGCAAAAGACACTTATGTTTGTGTAGCATGAGAGTTCAGGCTGAGAGCCGTGAGACATGTGTCCAAACAGAGGAGAACATTGTCACAGCTGTAATCTTTGAGCGCTGCAGTGTTTTTCTTCCTCCTTCAATCGCGGCCGTCGCATTGCCAGTAAACATTTTTTCATAACCATAGATTGTAAATCTGCATCTCAACAGTTCTGTATTGAGACATTGGATCTTGTCCTTGGAAGCAGCTCTACACTTCACATAAAGCATAATCCCTCTGCTTGGTTTACCAAAATACAACGTTACAGGCTGTTTT